AGGAGAAGCAGCATTCAGTTTCTATGCACCACAAATTTGGAACAAGCTTCCAGAAAACTGCAAAACAGCTGAAACACTGAGTGCCTTTAAATCTCGACTAAAAACCCACCTAAGTTGTATTTGAAACGTAATCAATTACGAATTTAATGACAGCTCTTAACTTAATGTAATGTTTTGATTGTTGATTCTATGTTGCATGACTCTGTGTTTTCATGTTTTTATTATGTAAAGCACTTTGAAATGCCTTGCTGCTGAAATATGCTGTACAAATAAAATTGGATTGATTGATTGATGACCTAGAAGCTAATATAAAAATACCTACAAATTATAAAAAGGACTCAAATCGAATATAAATGACTGTACCTCATCTATACAGACTAGTAGAATTATTTCAAAGTGATTTTGAGTCAACAGGTCACATGACCTGGAAGCTATTGAATAAAAACCCTCAATTTTGACGAAAAAAATTAATAAAAAATGGAAAATGGCTCAAAATGGAAAACAAATGTCTGTGCCTCATCTATAGGGACTAGTAGAATTATTTCAAAGTGATATTGAGTCATTAGGTCACATGACCTGGAAGCTATTGAATAAAAGCCCTCAATTTTGACGAACAAAATTAATAAAAAATGGAAAATGGCTCAAAATGGAAAACAAATGTCTGTGCCTCATCTATAGGGACTAGTATAATTATTTAAAAGTGATTCTGAGTCATTAGGTCAAATGACCTGGAAGCTATTGAAGAAAACATTATATTATTTAATGTTAAAATTATTGAAAATATTGTATATGACTTTAAAATTTTATAGATGCTATTTTGGCTCATGTAAAAGCATGAATTAGCACTGACAATTAGTTAGTTGTTTACAATTCAAGGCATTTATTAACATTTAAATAAATGTTAATAAATGACAGGAATGTTTGGTTCGGTAATTTGTTGATAGTCCCTAAGTGAACCTTCGGGCGCTGCGGCCGGGAGCAGTAGAGAACCGCTGGCCGACAGTAGCATTCATAAATCGGATCAACTTTCAGCTAAACTTCGGTTACTCCTCTGTGCTCGGGCCGGGAACGGTGGAGAACCGCTGGCTGACATTAGCGTTCATAAATCGGATCAACCTTGAGCTAAACGCCGCTTACTCCCCGGAGCTCGAATATCGAATATCCAACTTGAAACTAACTTCACTGCGGTGAAGCGGTAGCTAATCTACCACAGCAATTATTTATTAATAAAACATTAAGCCTAAAACGTACTACAACAGACTGAATATTCTGTTCTGTGTGCAAAATTCTTGAATGTTTTTTGGTGTTATATCTTAAAACATGAAGTGGCATTTTTGTCAGTTGCTATGGCAACGAGTCTGCGTAGCTTGGCGAAATACAGATCACTTTGCTGTGGATCATACATAGCACGAAATTAATACCTACATTTTTAAGTTTCACTGAGTTAATGCGTCTATGGATGACATGTAAAAGATTAGTCTTTTTGCCCCCCAGCGTTGTATGCATACGCGAAATTTCCGTAGGTCCAATAATATGCATGGTGTCTAAGTCATAAGTCAGTGCCTCACCAGCAAAGAACCTCACCGCACGTCACTGGTTAGGTCGTATTTGAATCGGATACGTATCGGATACAGGTCGCATTACGTCAAAAAAATCGGAATTGGGTCACTTCAGGCTGCAGTGTGAACGCACCCTTGGAGCCTTGGACCAAACCTAGCAGTAATTCAATTATTTTGCATCAAAATGTGCCTTTTTTAAACATATTGTATCTGAGGAAACCCCCCTATAGCTTTTGACATACAAACTTCAGAATCACTGAGTACAATGCCGAGGCATTGAAGATCAAAAGTTATCAAAATCTTTTTTGTACATCAAAGCATGTGGGTGTGGCCAACCCTCAAAATCTGACCATTCCTCATGAACACCAAGGTGCAATAACTTCCACATACAAGGTCACAGCTGCATCAGACTTTCTCTTTCTCATTACAGACTAGCCCTTGTCACATTCACATGGTCAAGTGGTGACATCACTTTAGCCCTGCCCGATTCAATCAGAAAGTCACCTGTTTTTTGTTTTTTTTGTTTGTTTTGTTTTTGTTTGTTTTCTGCTGGATGTCTTAATTTTACTCTTTGATTCATATAGGTTTAAACATTTTGCCAAGTAACATAGAATAACTTGATGATGAAATCTCTCAACACTGGCTGATAACAGAACAGTGTGAGTGTAAGTGAATGGCAAATTTCAATCCTTCACTGTTTGCATACATTTGGCTCTAAATCACTGATTTGCACCAAACTGCATATGTATGACCTTTGTTAGCCACTAAAGAGACCAATAGTGTATTGAAATTTGACTCCAGGGTGCCCCTTAGATTATTCCAGCAGTTATATCTCCCTGATACAATACCTGGTCTGCTCCAAATTTTTTGTGCATCATCATGGAGCACAGCTTCAAACATTGTCAGAGTATGTTAATGACATCACTAAAGCCACACTAAAACACTGAAGATTATTGGGTCTCTTACCCTGCTTCACCCTGTCTGTGACATAAGATTGAAACTATCCACAAACTGTTGATAACCACATATGACGCATATCAAACCCTACAAGAAGTCCTCACTAATCCTGTGCCTCAAAACAGAAAGTGACTCCTTTCTGGGAGGTCAGGTTTTGGCCAAACTTTTAAGATATGCTGCTGGACTCACATTGAACTGGACTGGAAGCTATTTGGAAGATTTGACAAATGAACTGCCTAGTGGACAGTTGCAGGAACAGCGTGATAGCATTGAGAATGGTGTTAGGTGGCGGTGTTGAAGTTTGTTTGATTTTTATGGATGTAATAGCATGTTAATGTGGAAAAGCACTGATATTCAATATAGTTGACTAGGATTAAATATTGTTTGCAACTAAAAATACAGGGAATTTAAACTGGCAGATAACTGCCAGTTTAAATTCCAGTTTAAGACTTAGTAAAACTCTGATTTCATTAGCAAATCTAGAATAGGAATTTCTGGATGAATTACGTCAGAATATTGTCACCTGGACAGATCATTTCAGTTTTTTCTGTATATGTATAAAGCATCAGTTAGAGGAGTTCAGATCAGAGAGGAGCATCATTTCTAATGCTGCTTGTCACTTCTTCTACTTTCAGAGTCCAGCAAAGAGCAGTTTGCTTCCACCAACATTGCTGATGAGCTGGTGCATCTTTTCCAGAAACAGACAGAGCATGAGAAGAAGGAGATGATCTTTGAAGTTCTGGCTCCGCTCGCTGAAAATGGTAAAGTTCCAGAGTTTATGTTGAAAATCCTAAAAAGTCACATTCTAATATAATAACCAGAGTGTGTTGTCCTGGTCTTAGAAAGGAACCACTTACTGCACAGCTAATAATCACGTCTCGGTGTGAGTCAGGCTTCCCAAACTCTGCACAGCTCACAGACACCTCCTGCTTTTTCCCAACGTGTCTGAGAGCGTGTTTGAACAGCAGAGAGTTCATCTTAGCAAGTGTTCCCACGCCAACAGTCTCCACGACAACGATCTACCTATCTGTACTTAAGAGGCACCTGTCTGCCCCTGCTTCTGTTTTTCATACTGTGTGCTGTTCATTAAGTTCTGCAGGAGCAAACAAGAGTCAGTTGTGTGGATAATGAAACCGGATAACACTGGATGGGTCAGACTGTAGGTGATTTAGTGGAGCATGAGTGTTTGATCCATCTTTTTCTCCTACATCACATATTTAGTAGAAGGCAGCAAAGTGGAAGAAGATGGATGGATGGATGGATGGAAGGATGAATAAATAAGGGACACCCACCACAGCCCGTGTCTTCCTACTCTTATGGGGCTGGATGGCCGCTGCAGTGATAGACATTATTTTATGGCCCTGTTTTTTTTTTTTTTTTTTTTTTTAAGTGATCCATAGAAAAATTGTTTGTAGAGATGAGTTAGTTTATTTACTTATACAAATAAGGAGTTAGGTTTGTAGGCTGGTACTAGGCCAAGTTTACCACGGGGGCCAGGGTAGTCTGTGTTTTTTCAGGGGGACACTTAAAACAGAATTAAAGAAAAACAGAGCAATAGTTTTTCATTTGTTTAAGTGAGCCAAAGAGCCACTTGTGTCTAGAGGTTGCAGATCCATGATCTAGCAAATGGAAAGTGTGATCCTATCTCAATACAGCAGCTAAAAGTGCAACACTATAATTTTTAATTCATTGTTAAAGTAAAATTGTGAAGGTTAAAAAAATCCACCGACTATTAACAGAAGGCATTTGTTGCACACCCCCACAAAGGTTTTGAACCTGCCTTTTTAACTAGCCCTTCCTTTGCGCTCTTAGCCGTGCTGCTTCCCGCTTTCTCTGTTTTGATGTCAACCGGTTACATCAACAACAAACATTACTGTGGTTAGCTGGTAGACTGCAGATCTCTATCATAGGCCAAATTTCTGTTGTTTCTACTAGGGCTGAAACGATTCCTCGAGTGATTTGAGTACCTCGATTATTAAAATTCCTTGTGGAAAATTGTTCTGCCTCGAAGCCTTGTTAAATTTATGTTTTATTATTTAGCGCACCGTGTTCCAGCCGGGTCGTTATTTGCATTCCACAGAGCTCTCACTTCCGCCTGAGTTGACGAAAGCGAAGTGTTAGCAGCATAATGTCCAATTTTCAAGTTCAGCCTGGGAGGATTTTACTGATTCATGATTATGTCTGGGTTTTTGTCGTTTTTCGGGACCAATAAACATCCTTAAAATGATGAGAGCAATGCTTGGTGTATGGCAGCTTTTCTCCTCCCGGAGCTGCTGGTTCAGAGCGAACAGCAGAAACGAGCATGGCGGGACTATTTATACAGGTGAGGAGATAGACCGAACCCTGCGGGCAGCTGTGCTTTAGATGCGTAACCTGAAAATGCCGGAAAATAAATTTCATATCATCCCAGTCGCAACAAATGGGTGCCAAAGCGCATTGTGATGTTACATACCTGGTATATGCGTTTCTGTGTGTGACGAACAAAGGTGTCAAATCCTGTTGCTAACATAAATACAAATAGGGTTGCCACCTTTCAGAAATTAAAATAAGGGACGCCCACCACGGCACGTCGCCCTATTCTCATGGGGTGGGATGGCCGCTGCAGTGATAGACAATATTTTATGGTAGTGTTTTTTGTTTTTAAAATGTGATCCATAGAGCAATCGTTTATGCATAGAGTACCCCAAAATTGTACAGATAAGAGTAGCACACCTTAAACATGTTTAATTAAGCAAGTGTAAAATGTATTTGGTAAACTGCTCAAGTACTGAGTAACTGATCATAACACATAATTTAATAATCAAAATGTGTCCTCAGGCAGGGCTCCAAAAGTATAAAAGTTATGTGAAAATTCTGGTATAGATATAAATATAAAGAGTATTACTAAAATATTTATACAAATGAGTCAGATTTGGAGGCTGGTTCTAGATCAAATTTACCATGGGGGCCAGTGTTGTCAGTGTTTTTTCATGGGGACAATTAAAAAAGAATGAAACAAAAAGAACAAAGAAAAAAAAAACAGAGCAATATTTCATCATTTGATATATCAAGTGAGCCAAAGAGCCACTTGTGTCTCCAGAGATCCAAGTTGCAGATCCCTGGCAGATGGAAAGAGCGATCCTATTTTGATACAGCAGCTAAAAGTGCAGCACTATGATTTTAAATCCATTGTTAAAATAAAATTGTGAAGGTTAAAAAAATCCACCTCTGAATATTAAAGAGATTTATTTAGCATCATTCCTTCTATACCCATTTTGGCCCCCATCTAGAACCGCTCCGGCAGCAGGTCTATGTCTGACATTAATAATACATTATATGACCACTGAACAGTAAATTAATAGAAGATGTCAACATTTCTTAATAAAGCAAACAGAAAGCTCTAACAAACCTTTTAAAGTAGGAAATATTTATGTAGTTAGTATTAATCTCTTAGTATGATTTGTTCTTTAAATGGCCATTTGTACTTTCGGCTGATACGACTATACATTAAATAACGAAATAATTGATTATTTAATAATCAAATCATAACAGTCGACTTAAATGACAATAAGAAACTTAATCATTAAAAAAAATTTTCTTTACCATATCAGCCTCAGGAGTTGATTGAGGGATGAAGAGACTCTGATGTCTGGTTCTTTGGGTTCTAACGGGTCTACAGCTCCTGTCCTGATCCATTCTGTCTGACATCATGCAGTGATGAACACATTTGTTTTAATGGACTGTATCAGTGGCGTATCTAGCTCAGTTTTAGGGGTGCTTATGCGCCCCTAAAACTGTACCTCAGCACCCCTGAATAAGATTCCCACCCCCTCCATAAAATACCATTAAATGCCACGTCCCGTATTGATACAGACGGTTATGTCTATTGGACATAACCGTCTGATAGACATGCCTGTCACACACATATCAGCACTATAATGACCAAAATAAAACATAGGATATATTAAGGTCAGATAAATTCTCGTGGTGGGAGCTAAAGAACCCCCAGAACACTATGCAGACGCTACGGACCGCGGTTGCCTAGATACGGACACTACACAGCTGCGCCATCAACCCACGTCTTTTTAAATTACCACCCGATACTCCACCGTCCTTACAAGCAAAAACTCTTGGAGAAATACAGACGTGAGTGAAAAGACGCACATCCCAGGCTGAACAATGTCAGTGAAGATGGATAGTGTATCTATCGATGAAGTGTCCGTCGTGGCACACTGTGCTGCTGTATGATATGGGACAGAAATGGATCAGGAGAAGAATACTGCAGACCCGTCAGAACTAAAGAGCTAGACACCAGCGTCTCTTCATCCCTCAATCATCTCCTGAGGCTGATATGATACAGAACATTTTATTATTGATTCGGATTCTTCTTGAGCTTTTAGTAGACTGTTGTGGTTTGATTATTTGCTTAGGATGTTGTGTTTGGATGATTTAATATATAATAGCATTAGCCAAAATAATATAAATGCCCATATAAAGAACAAATCATGCTAATAGATTAATAGTACATACATAAATATTTCCTACAGTAAAAACGTTTGTTGTTTCTGTATGTTTTATTCAGAAATGTTGATATATTTTAAGAATTCGGGGTTCATTGGTCATTTTATGCATTATTTCTCTATTATTTTATTAATGTGGTTTACCAGTTTGGATAATCTGACTTCTTATCAATGAAGAAAAAAACATGCTAAGCAAAAATACACCAGACAGACCTGAAGCCTAGGGGCGGTCCTAAACGGGGGCTAATGGGGTAATTATACTAAATATATTTTGTTAACATTTAGTGGTAGATTTTTTTTTTTACCTTCACAATTTTACTTTAACAATTAATTAAAAATTATACTCTTAGCTGCTGTATTGAGATAGGATCACATTTTCCATTTGCTAGATCAGGATCTGCAACCTGAATCTCTGTAGACACAAGTGGCTCTTTGCCTCACTTAACATATCAAATGATGAAATATTGCTGGTAAGTTTGGTGTAGTAAGTAAGACCATTATGAATATATATTTTTAACCAGATATGAGGGGCCAGACTTGCATCATCAGCAGCTTTATTCAGATGACAATTTGTAATCCAAAATATTATGCTTAGTGATTTTTTCCAATGGGCAATTTTAAGTGGCAATGTAGTATTTAATTTAGAATTATTTTTGTTATATTTATGAATGGAAATTGTGTACAGCATAGGCTTTATTTATTTGAAGATTACTTTTTAGTTGTTCAGTACAAAATGTATGTGTTCAAAATATTTGGATCAATAATGGGTTAGTCTGATCCTGGTCTTTAGCCTTGTTAAAGGCTAAGGACCTCTTGTTCCTTTGTTTTGAAGTTTGATTAGTGACTGTTGTGTTGTTTTGTTATTAACCTCTCTGGAGTCACTTAAATAAGGTAAAACTAAAGAACAGTACAAAATGTCAAGCTGTTTCTTTGAGAACAGAAAGGTGTTTGGTACTGAAACTATGATAGACTCACTTCATGAACTGTGAACTGAAATATTAAAACCCTGACTCATAATTTCTACTTTTCCATAGATGGAAGTACATTCTTGTTTAAAGAAAAAAGGCCAACAGCCACATAACATTCAGATAAAAATCAGGTTGATGCAATTTCTACATACGATTTTCAAATAAATTCCAGGTTAATGACAAATGGAGAACTAGTCATTAACCTGAACTTCTACCTTGATAATAAACTGGTTTTAGGTTTATTAATTGTATGCAATTAATAAAATGTTCTTCAAATGAAATGCATAGTTTTGAGTAGATTTTATTTTAATTTCCGGGGCAGCAGACCCCACTAGGACTGTGTAACTCCACAGCTGCTTGTGTCTCATTAATGTTAGCAGATGTTCACAGGTATGATGTAGTCTGATTCTGTTTCACATATTTACAGCTCTGGAAAAAATGATCAGTTCTCTGATTTTACTCTTTATAGGTACATGTTTAAGTAAAATGAACATTGTTGAACTACTGACATGTCTCTGAAATTCCAAGCAAAAATTTAGTATTTATTTTCAGAAAATGAGAAATGGTCAAATTAACAAAACAGATGCAATGCTTTCAGACCTCAAATAATGCAAAACCAACACACAAAAAACCAACACAAGTTTACATTCATTTAGAAACAACTAAACTAAGGTTTTAACTCGGGAAGAGTTCAGACATCAATATTTGGTGGAATAACCAGGAGGTTTTCAATGGGGTTCAGTGCAATGGGCTCTTCATTTTTTCCAGAGCTGTATATAGTTCTTAACAGTTTTAGTTGGACAAAACTATTTAATTTCATTTGTGAATGTATGTAAATATGCAGTGAAATTTAGAAAAATACACCAACAAATATCTTCATTTGGGTCTTAGCCCTGTTGGGGGCTAAGCACCCCTTAAGGTAAGATCCTAGAATCGCTCCTGGAGTGTATTCATCCTCACTAACATGTTCAGCCTGGGATTTGAGTCTTTCCTCTCATGTTTGTATCTATACGAGAGGTTTTGGTTCTGAGGACGGTGGAGTACCGGGTTGAGGACGTTTTAAAAAGACCTGGATTGTTAGCAGCTCACCGCAGCTATGTAGTGACCGTCTCTAGGCAACTACAACAGCATCTGTCCGTAGCTTTCTTGGGGATCCTATTTACATCCCGCCATGACAGTTTAGCTGACTTTAATATATTCTGTGTTTTATTTTGGTCATTATTCCAATTAGTCTTGATATGTGTGTGATAGGCGTGTTTATTGGACATTTATAGAAATATGGAACAAATCGCATCCCGTATCGAGCCGATACGGGACGCAACATTTAAAGCCAAATACGGGACAATTCCATATTTTAAGGGACAGGTGGCATCTCTAAACACAAACGATATAAATGGTTGGGCAAGGTGAGAGTTAATCTATTAAACTGACAGAAATACATAAACCAAAAGCTGGAGTATAGACATTTTTTTAATAATAGCCTGCTCACAAATAGGCAGGCTATTTGTGAGCATAATAAAGAGCCTGCCTCTTTATTATTACATTGAATATAATTTCAGATTTTTGTATGACTTTTCTTCAGGTTAACTTAGAAAGTGAGCTATTATTGTTACAAGTTAACTTTCTAAACTACAGAAAAGTAATTGTTAGGGAAGCTCAAATGTGAAAAATTGGACTGATATTGATATGTGATAGTAATACTGCTGTTATGTTAGATTTACCAATGTTTTATCTTGTCCTTTTTTAATCCGAATACCCGATTAATCGTAAGAATAATCAATAGATTACTCGATTACTAAAATATTCGTTTGTACTTCCGATTATGGCAGCCATGTGAAAGGACACGTTTTCACCGCTTTGCTGTTCTTGTCAAAGAATTTCTTTAAAATCTCTTCCTTTCAAAACGAACTAAACGGCTAGTGAGCGCGGGTGGTCGGAATAATGCCTAAAGCGGCAAAAGCATCCCACAAAGTAAGTGAAAAAGCAAAACAGCATAAACTAACGGATTACTATCTTCGAGCTGAAATGCAGAAAGCTAATGCACAGTATCAGTATCTTTTTGAAAAGATTTTGGGTCCTTTCATTAATTTTCTTAAAGACTTAGCTTTGTCAGAGGGCTTGTTTGAGTTTTGATTTGAGGGAACCTGCAGCGTGACATGCTGAATAGATGCACACAGTTATATCTAACCTGATTGTAATTTGCTTGAATACCCTGTTTTTGAGAAGCTGTTTTTGTTTCTATGTCTAGTTTTTTTCTTCTTTCTTTCTTTGTTTTTCATTTCTCTAATATGAGAAAGAATAATTACTGGCATGTAATAACTACAAAGAAAACTTGTTCAAATAGTTACATGATTGTATTTCCAAAGTGGAAAATCTCAATAAAAATATTTTGGTAAAAAAAAAAAAAAATATTCGCTGACAACAGCCCTCGTTTCTACCCTATACTGTATATTTCCTGCATTCCTACAAAATAGGATTTGAATTGGAGTTTGCGTTTAGCATTAGCTTCTGCTAAATAGTGTGTTGGTTTATCAGTTTAGCATGAGCTCCTGATAAATATTATGTTGGTGTAGCAATTTAGTGTTACTAACGTTTATAATTAGTGCTGTAGGGTTAGCACAACTAACTTTGTAGTTCCCACCACTGATAATAGCATTTTTCTATCTGGGTAAATTCCCCAGGCTTGACAAATAAGTTAATTGTAAAATAAAATAAAGGTTTTTTTCTGATAGTAAAACAACCCAAAGCTTCCCGTTATATGCTGAAATCTCCATGATGTGGCTGTTGCAGTCATCAGCTGACATGCCTCAGTTTCCTCTCCAGAAACTTCTAACACCATTTTTGCTTCCTCTGCATTCATTCTTAAACATCTCACTGATGCAAAACATTTCTGAACTCCATCAGTGCAGATGGTTGGCGTTTATCTATGGGGAGGTTTGATTGGCAAAAAGATTGGTTTTTAGTCCATCCAATTTGATATACATTCACCGATCATTACCTTTCTTCAGCATTATTACCACCTTAAGATAGCATGAATTAGCTTCTGTTTCAGGGTTTATCAGTTCCTTTAGTTACTAACCTTAACCAAGAAAAGCAGATTTATTCATGATTGTTTTTCCAATATTGTTAGAGGTAAAAAAAAAAAAAAAAATTCACGTGTCTACTTACTTCATTATATGTGCGCTGTTCTTATGTTAACTGTAGGAGCATCCAGGGATTAGTTACCATGACCACCAGATTAAACAGTGTAATTAGTATAACCCCCAGAGAGGTCTCTGTTCTGATACTGCTGTATTTTATTGATGCTCTAAATGTTTTTATTGAGTTTTTCCCGTAGTAAAAATACAATTATGATTATTGTAAAATATTTTGAGCTTTCAATAGATTTTGCCTATTAAAAAGGTTTATGATTAATTTTTAATCTGGGGATTGTGGACTACTTGTATTGTTTAAAAATCTACATTAATGCAGTCTGGTGCAGTTGTTCCATTTCGTTGTCCTTCTCCTCTGCCTAGATGTTATAAAACTGCAGCTGGTAGAGGCAGGCCTAGTGGAGTGTCTCCTGGAGGTGGTGGCTCAGACTGTGGACGGTGAGCGGGAGGAAGACATTGCCCAGCTCAAGACTGCCTCAGACCTCATGGTCCTTCTGCTACTCGGGGGTAAGCTCTGCTCAGGGTACATCAATACGTACAGTGCCTTGGAACTCTGTCTCATTTTGTATGAATGGATGGAGGTTTCCATCACAGGGTTTCCCCCAGAAAACTTGCTAAGCCCGGTGGTCGGGGTGCCGAGGCAGTCCACCGTGTTTTTGTATAGAGATGTGCCGATCAGGTTTTTTCCTGCCGATTCCGATCACCCATGAGGGCCAGTCACGGCCGATCACCGATACCGATCACATAATTATTGTTTTT